CGGCGCCAAAATTTTGACGGTGAGTCCCCTGGCCAAATGCCACCCCAGGACCACGGTACCAACCCCCACGCAAGTGTGGGTCTCGCGTACGGGGGAGTGAAAGTTTTGGCGGGAAGATCGCTAACTCGGGACCAGAAAAGCTAGAAAGCTGGAATTCTGAGGTTATCTCCCTCGCCCACATAGAACTCAAAGATTTGCGTGTTTCCAGGGTATGGCTTCGTGGGGGTTCCTGGCGCGAAAATCGCTAACTCGATAACCAGGAAAGCTGGGGAGCTGAAATTTCCAGGGAATGTTCGAAGCCCATGTGCGACTTAAATTTATCAAACTGAGCCCCCCGGGCTTGGTTGTCACGTACGGCTCCGTGAAAACTTTTGGTAGGAAAATTGCTTACTCAAGAACCAAAAAATTTGAAAATCAGAAATTTCAACGAAATATTCCTCACCCAGATACAGCGTAAACAATTAACTTCCCGGACTTCGAGGACCGGTATATCACATATTTCTAGCTATTGGGTTCCCGAGCGATCTCATTACAGCACGAAATATTGCAAAAACGCATGATTGCACGGGTTCGCCCGGTGCGCGTCGCCAATGATTTTGAGAGGTGGAGGCATTTGAAAGTCGAGTGAGTATAAGCCAGCAGTGGCCACTTGTTGGCAGATCTCTTTCAGTTAACATTAGAAACAGACTAGAAGCGTAATTATACAGTAATTATTTAAAAGTATTTGTAGCAAGGTGAGCGCACTCGTCGATTTCTGACTTCCGGTATGATGGCCGAGCTGATACTGACAAAAGCTGCCTTCCGTAATTATACGTTAACTGCTGAAATGCGTATTGATAAATTCAAAATTTTTGATGTTGTCAGTTTAATTGATGGCATCGACGCAACCAGCCTCGAGTTTCTCGTCAGCGCCCTTAACGAACTAATTATTGGCGATGATGTGGCGCAAAAATTAAGTGATGGTTGGTGATTTTAACAAATTTTTGTCTCTCATATTTTCTGCTTTACTAGCCGTGAAAAGTATGAGTAAACGACACCGGGAGAGGAAAGAGAGCAACTTTGGGAGATGTATCTTTTATTTTAAATGAATCGTAGAACCTCGAAATCACCAATAA